CGTAATTAAGGTTTGTAAACATAAATGCTAATTAGTTAGTGCCTTTTTCAAAGGATAGGTATGTGTGCACGTCCACACATATTGACTTTTCAATTTCCAGGTCCACAACCGTATGCATGTATACACTCAAGTGTAAACAGGTATGCCAGTAGATATTCAACAATGTTCACGGTTAGATACTGTTGTAAAAGCACGTTTTTATTATATAAAAAACGTTTCATATCTATGTTCTGCTTGTATATTTCATTTCCTGCGTACACATGGTAGCGTTAAAAAAGCGTTTTTGTTTACACATGTATTTCTGCTTGCGTACATAAGACATATGTGTAAATATTTTTTGGTGCTGGCCAGTGTTGGCAATGTGACTCTATGCTGGCGCAGCGATCAAACATCAAACTTTATACATTACCCAACGAATGAAAAATGTTATTCCCTTGAAAATATTCATTTTTCTACTTTTGAAGTTGCTGACTTGTTCGTGTTCACATGTCATGTTAGGTGGCAGCCTCATGACAATTGACCCAAGTGACAAAGGCTATTCACAACGGCAACAATGACAACACCATATTTCATGTCAGTTCAAGCTTTGAACAAAAACCAATGAAAACACACAAACGCAATACCAAATTTCATTTCAAAGGTTCATTTTTTGGTTTTTGGGCTCAAAGTTGTTCAATGTCACGTTTTCAAACCTGTGAAACACGTTGATGTTATCACGATGCTAGCACGAGTCACTTTTGGCTCAAAATAGCTCAAAAAGTACTTTTTGAGATGCCCAAAAATCCCTACAAATTAATCTCCCCACAAGCTGGTCGCCATTCCGAAGTTTGTGAATAGCATATTTTGACTATATAATTATTTTACTTTAATACATAGAGTTTGAACAAATAAACACATACTAGTACCATAAGCAATGATGATTCAACACAAGCGATACTTTCAAACGGATATTTCAATACAAACTACACAGTTGTATGATTTTGTTAGAAAAGATTCCACAGAACAGTTTTCAAGACAGGTAAGATTTTGAAAGGGGCCACGCCTTCCATGAACAAACAGCTGAGAAACTTCCAGCCTTTTGTAGTCTACATCCAGTTTCACCTTCTCCCTTGTGCTCAGCATGCCTTTGCACTGCCTGTTCAAAGACTTAGGCGGAGAAGTTGCCTTCCCTTTGTCGTTTTTCTGATTCCTTTCTCTTGTAGCCTTGGCCCTTGGAGCCACAGGGCGGCTCTTTGGAAGGTTTTGAAAATGCGAAACAGGAGGAACTGCTCTTGACCGTTTTTTGGGGGGGTTTGGAAGCTGTGGAGAAATATTTCCGTGCAAAGTTGAGGTCTGCAGAACCGTTCCGAACCGTTCTGGAGGTCTGCAGAACCGTTCCGAACCGTTCTGGAGACCTCTGCGCTAAGAAAATTGTCACGTAAATTGGTTCTCTGTGCCAAGAATCCCGGGAATAGGAAGGCACGGACAAGGTTGAGCCATTCCGGATGCATTAGTCCCAACCTGAAAGTAACCCATCATCACCCTCAAGAACCCCACCGCTAGCGCTATATATATATATTCTGAAAAGTATCAAATCATGGTCCAAGAAATTATCGGCAGCTATATACAATATAGTTTGTTTCTTGTATGGGTAGTAGCACGGTAGTAGCAACAGTCTTGCCAGAGTGACAAAATACCAACAATATAGCCTGGATGTTGCACTGCTGCCGCTACTGCATATTTTTGATCCATTCCAGAACTGGTGGGGAAAAAGACAGCAATGGGAATGCAGCCAACAACCAGCATTGCCTTTGTTCTCTTTTTGAAAAGGGAAATCACATAATCCCAACAGCCTGAACACATTGCAGAAGCCAGCTCAGCGCGCCCAAACACACATGGACTGCCTTCCAAATAATTGAAATTACATATTGATAGAATTCAACTTCAGCGCCTGTTCCTTCCACCTAAGTATTTCTCCAATTGCGCTTAAACCGCCTGAATCTTCCCTCAAACAAATGCAGCATCATAAATTAAACCCACTATCTGTATGCGGGTTGTGTATTTCTTCAAGGTTTCAAGTATTTGGGGCAAGGTTGTTAAGTAATCAAAGCTGAATTTAGCCCAGTCTCACACTAGAAAATTAATTAGCTGCAAATAGAATTCCGCTTCGGCGTTTGTTTCTGTCGCCTGAGTATGTCTCCCATCTTGAAGGGAAAGCAAACCATATTTTCACCCAAATGCCAGCCCCAGACTAGAATTTGGAATGCATAATTTACTTAAGCGCACATAGAATTCTACTTAGGCGTCAGCTTGTGACGCCCAAGCAAAATTCTATTTGCGCCTAAGTAGATCATGGATTATGTTTTCCAACAGCCCCAGACTAGATTTCTATTCGCGCATAAGTAGATTAATGTGTGCCTCTGATTAGTGTGAGGGCCCCCCCCCCCCAAACAATTTGAGGATACTCTATAACTCGCACTTTTTTTTGCCCCCCCTCAACATTTTTTTGGTCAATCAACTTAAGAAAGGATTTCAATTTACTTTCAATTGATTTCAATTTACTTTCAATTGATTTCAATTTACTTTTAATTAATTAATTTACTTTCAATTGATTTCAATTGATTTCAATTTACTTTCAATTGATTTCAATTTACTTTCAATTGATTTCAATTTACTTTCAATTGATTTCAATTTACTTTTAATTTACTCTCAATTGATTTCAATTTACTTTCAATTGATTTCAATTTACTTTTAATTTACTTTCAATTGATTTCAATTTACTTTCAATTGATTTCAATTTACTTTTAATTTACTTTCAATTGATTTCAATTTACTCTCAATTGATTTCAATTTACTTTTAATTCACTTTCAATTTACTTTCAATTGTTTTCACTTTTACTTTTAATTTATTTTTATTTTTTTTTCACTCCCAAAAGTTGGTGCTCACAATAGAGTACCATCCAAACAATTATATTATTGAGTAACTGGGCCACTCATGAGGTACCCCCTTGAAAAATTGTCTGGATGCTGTTTTTTAATAAGGGTTTAATAAGGCATCTAATTATTTGGGAAACCTTGCATTTTAAAGCTTTAACAGAAACATTGCCTTCTAAAGTAAAGGGACCAGTTTTAGCCAAAGAAAGGTGGAGAAAAGGTTTTTTTTTTCACTCCCAAAAGTTGGTGCTCACAATAGAGTACCATCCAGACAATTATATTATTGAGTAACTGAGCCACTCATAGGGTAATTAATATCTTAATGAATAATAAAGCAATAAAAAAAATAATTAAAAAAGGAAATAATGAAAAAATGAAACAATAGTAAATACAATTAAAATAAAAATGAAAAAGTAAAAAGTAAAAATAAAAAATAAAAATAGATAAACTAAAAATAAAAAGAAATTAATAAATAAAGTAATTAATTAATTTCAAACAAAAAGCATTTGGAAAAAAAAATGAAAAAAAATAAATCTGGAAAAAAATTCTCACAATAGAGGCTCCCCCCCAACAATTAGCATGTTACTGAATTAGGAGCAAGAAATTTCTCACAATAGGGTACCAGGCTTCTAATCAGAGGCAAACATTATGAATATAAATTATGTCTTCCAACAGCCCCAGACTAGAATTTGGAAGACATGGTCTAATAAGGCGCAAATAGTAATAGAATTCTACTTAGTTGTCAGTTCGTGACGCCTAAGCAGAATTCTTTTTGCGCCAAAGTGGATTATGAATTATGTCTTCCAACAGCCCCAGACTAGAATTCTATTTGCGCCTAAGTAGATTTTGACTATGAATAATGTCTTCCAACAGCCCCAGGCTAGAATTTGGAAGACATGGTCTAATAAGGCGCAAATAGTAAAAGAATTCTACTTAGGCGTCAGTTCGTGACGCCTAAGCAGAATTCTTTTTGCGCCCAAGTAGATTATGATTTTTGTCTTCCAACAGCCCCAGACTAGAATTTGGAATGCATAATCTATCTGGCGCAAATAGAATTCTACTTAGGCGTCAGTTCGTGACGCCTAAGTAGAATTTTATTTGCACCTAAGATTACCTAAGTAGATTTAGTCTTCAAAAGAAAGACCGAAACATAAGTTCACCCCAATCTCACAATCAGAATTTTATATCTATAGACTGTGGATCAGATAGGTATAAAGTATCCATGGCAAGTTTTTGTTATTAGCAAAACTGAATTCATCACCGGTCCACAATACAAATTCAATTTAGGTCAAGTACTTCACGACTTTGAGTGCAAACCCAGATTGATGAATCTGGATGTGTCCTCGCTGTGTGCATTGTTTTGTTACTTTACTTCTTCAAAAGCTTGCTAATTTTCCCTTGACATGGTTTCTAACATCACCTTCTATAAGATATCCTTATTGCCCTGGTTTCTTCCATAGTCCCTTCCATAGTTCCCTCCATGGTCCACAAGGCCCACAGGTTAAGAGGCTAAAGTTTGAAATAAGATAGATAGATAGATAGATAGATAGATAGGTAGATAGGTGGATAGGTAATTAGATGAAAGAGAGAAAGAGAGAGATAGAAAGATCGATAGATAGATAGATACATAGAAGATAGGCTGGTAGGTAAGTAGATAGTCAGAGAAAGAGAGAGAGAAAGAGAGGAGACCTCAAGCACCTTTCAATCCATCAGTGGCTTCGCTCTGCCATCCCTGATTCACAACAACCAAGCTCTCCTATAGGTTTCCTATTTTTGAAACTTCCGCCACCGCCTTGTGCGGTACTACTGGTATGTATATATATATATATATACATGTACATACAATGCTGCCATGGAGAGAGATACAATGCCGGTTATTCATTCTGTTTGTGGGATTCACAATGGTAGGTTTGCTACTACGATATGTTTTTGTGTTTCCTTGGTGTGCCTGTGTCAAATATTTCCGCAGCTGATGCCACTCTGTATATATATATACATATATGCATACATATATGATTATATATATTTAATTATATATAATTATATATATAATTATATATATATACGCGTACAGTTTGATAGCTGAGGAAGGTTGCAAAAACCTTCGAGAGTCACGGCAGCAGTTCAAGATGTTCTTTGCAGCCTTTGCCGGCCCTATTCAATAGGAGTGCTCAGGACACGTTGTTGTTTTTTTCGATGCATGATTTTACGTGACACACTAAATTTATCTATATAAATTTGATTTGTGTTTGATGATGATGATGATCATGATGATGATGATGTTGATGATTGTTTCAGTTGTCCTCCATCTGGAATTCAGGGATCCATGAACCTAGACCCTTTGACAGCGGCAACACATTTCCATGGCGATTGGAGCCTAGTGATCCAATATGATCCAATAATAATGAGTCCAACGTGTATCCAATTTGTACGGTTGAGGTCCTCATGCTTGGCAAAAACCAGATTCACCGCGTTGAGAATCTCAACAGCCTTGAGAAATTGGACGTTCTGGATTTGCATAGCAACCGGATAAAAGAAATTCAGAACATCGGCCATTTGAAGCACCTCCGCACCTCGGTCAATCTGATATTTGTCTCTTTTCTATTCTTTTCTTGCGTTGATGATTCTTAACCCGTGACTGCAAACGATTACGTGGAGGGAGTTTGTTCCTTTTGCGTGTTTTGTTGTTTGTGTTTGGAAGTGAGTGTGTGTTTGTTTTGGGGTGATTCCTTTCCTTTCATTTTGTCTCTCTCACCACTTGACTAATTTCTTTTCTTCCTTTTGAGACTCGGATTGCGTATGAAGGGTTTGGATATGTTTGGATACCTTGCGTTTCTATGGGCTGCAACTTGGTCATACTTTGATTTTACTAAACTTGCGCATGGGCCCGTAGGCATATTATGGTAGGCACGTACGCAAGTTAGTTCCGCGGGCATCCCCTGCGCCGGGAAGGCAATATTTCTTGCCTTTCCCATGCTCCCAAGCGTGATTTGTGAACATACAATGGCATACAAGGATACCAGGATACAATACATTTGCAGACATTATGGGCATGATATTGCTGTCGCAATTGCATGTGTTTCACATGATACGATGGCACGGGATGCAGTTGTGATAAGAGTGACGAGTTCGCAGCACTTTGTGGTGGGTTTTGTAGTCGCACGATTGTTCAATTCCACGTCCTTTCAGTGAATGTGTTTTGGTTGCTGACGTCATTTGAAGATGGCCGCGCTTGAACCATTGACGGCAGCGCGCATGAGTCAGACTAATTTTGTCTTTGAATTCACGAAAGTCCGAAGGATTCCAGAATAAGGCGGAGAGGTGACTTTTTTGGGTGCAAAATTGGTTTATAGCAAACCTGGAATGCCAAGTAGGTGTAGCCAGGCAATTTACATGCGATACACCCGGCTCAATGCTTGAATGAAAACATATTGAAAATACATGAAAATACAATACAACAGCATACAACTTGGTCCAACCATATAAAAGCTTCATTGATATTCATTGATATGTGTTGAATTTCAGGGAGAAGAGCATTGCCCAATGGCATCCAATGGCTGGTACACTAAATTATTGTGCTAACAGGGACTGAAAATTTCCTTTTTGGATCTTTTTGGAGAATCTTATCCGCCGGAAGAACTACCAGTAGATCCAGTAGGATGTAGTTGTTGTGCCATGGCTTGCACCGTAAGATAATGTAAGATAGCATGCGTTGCAACAAAGCTTGGCACCATTTGGCACCTGAGGTGTGCTGAACTTGGCTGGCAATTTGCTTCAGTGCCTTTCCGGCCTGGAAGGCCTACATGCTCTGGCAGAACTGATGCTTGCCATTGCCTGGCATGAAAAGATGCAGACAGATGCAGAAAGTAGACATGCAACTCTTGGTCATTCTCTGTGCTTCTTGTCACCATGAGAAGTCGAGAGAGCCGAGAATGACCGAGAATGCAGCTGCCCTGGCTGAGGAACATTCGCAGGAACACCATTACGAGCACTTCTGGTTTAGAGCGGGTGCGCCTCAAACCCCGACAAAGTTGATGAGACACATTGTGCGTCATGTTTCTTAGCATGTTGTGACACACTCAAAACATAGGACATATTTGTAAATATATGGGAACAGGGCAACTGTATTTTTTGATTGCAGCGTCGCCCTCCATGAGGGGCGCGTGTGAGTGTGCGTGTGCGTGTGCGTGCGCGTGATCACCAGTGTGTGTGTGTGCGAACCCTTCTAGCACAGGGAATGGTGCCGACAACCGTTTGCTGCGAAGCCAACAGTGACGCATGTAATTCAATATATTCAATGCAGGGGGGCAGAGGCGACTTGAAAAGCTTTGCCCAACGAAGCTCTTTGCAAACATCCCAGGAAGCACGGGTTGATCACCGGTGTGTACCTGCGCCAAACCAGTCTGAACTGTTGATTTCTGTTCCTGTTCAATGCTGTACTAGCTGCTGCACCGTGTTTCCATTGACACAGTTTCGAATTCTGTTGATTTGACCTTTCCGACCTTCCGACCTCAATTCGGACTTCGAGGAGCACTCCCTTTGGAACCAGCTTCAAATCTCAAAACCTGTCCAGTGTGTGTGTGTATGTGTATGTGTGCGTTTGTGCCTGTGTGTGTGTGTCTGTGAAACCTGCTAGGTATCATACGCGAAAGAATCATTTAAGAATACTTTTGGAAATCATTTAATCATTTTCGGAGTCAGCAGGGGGGTGGTGGGCATTCTTGGAGTCACCACTCAACGAAGACACGCCAAGTTTGCTGTGATATGCGTAATCTGGAGGCAGATTGCGCCTACCTGCATGGATACTAGCAGGCTAAGCTTTTGAACCGGACAACACATCATACCTCACCACCCTGATCTGATCAATCTGGCCACATCACACGTATAGTTTGTTAAAGTGTTCACTCTGTCAGGATTGCGCTTTGTCAGGATTTGACCTAGGTAAACTTAAGGCGTCGACATTGTCATCGTCAGAAAGATCCATTTCAGAGTAATTTATTCACTCTATCAGCAGCAGTGTCAACGGGCACAGTCTCACTGACTTGTGAGTGCCGTTTGTACGCTCTATATGCAGAATGGGGTAGCGCAATACATTGGAATTTTTGTGACATGACCCAGTGCGCGTGGGAATTGGCTTCCATGCCGCGGTGTATAAATTATAGGCATTGGGGAAAGTCACAAGACTGTGGAATACGCCACAAGACAGAAACGGGCCATATGGCCGGGAATGTTTAATGAAAAGCAGAAAATAAATCATTCCAACTTCGCACAACCCCCTTTCCCCCCTCTCTTGGTGCGACCCTGGATACTTGGGTATTCCCGGTGGGTCCATGGATGCAGCATGCATAACTTGGGACACCCCCCTCCCTTCTCCTTCCTTTTTTGTTTTTTTCCCTCATCTCTCTTCCCACTCTTCCCTCCCCATACCCTCTGTGGTTGTCCCTTCCCTTTGCTGTCCTGCTTCAATTGTCTCGCTGCTGGGTTTTTGCTTTGTTGCCTGTTCTGCTTTGCGCTGTTTGCTTTTCTGCCTGCCAGGGTTTGGGTTCATGTGTGCTTTCTCTCCCCTTCCCTCCTCCTTTTTCATTCCTTTGTTCTGCCTGCTTGTTGTGTGCTCCCCTTGCCTGTTGTCTGCCGTTGTTTAGTTTATTTTTCCTCTTGTTTCCCCGTTGTTTTGTTGTGGCTGGCTGTCCTTGTTTCCTTCCCTCCTTCCCTCCGCCCTTCATGTGTGTGTGTGCGTGTCTAAACGCGTGGGCCTTCTTACTTTCAGGTTTCCCAGATACAAGGCTCTCTTGCAATTACTGTCAGACGAGACAGCTGTTTTTGACGCATGGAACCAAAGAACAGATCATCAATTCTGTTCGATCATACCATCCACGGATTGACGCTTCAGAGATCTTTCCTGCCTTGTCGTGATGCAGTGAGAAAAGGCGTGCAAAATCGTGAAAAGATACATTCGTGACATTTTGCCATTCTTTTAAGGGCTCTTGTCTCTGTGTGAAGCCCGCTAGGGTATCATGCTGGAAAGAATCATGTAAGAATACTTTTGGAAAGCATTTTAGAAGTCAGCAGGGTGGTGGGCATTCTTGGAGTCACCACTCAGCGAAGACACTCCAAGTTTGCTGTGATATGCAATCTGGGGGCAGATTGCGCCTACCTGCATGGATACTAGCAGGCTAAGCTTTGAACCGGACAGCACATCATACCTCACCACCCTGATCTGATCAATCTGGCCACATCACACGTATAATTTGTTAAAGTGTTCACTCTGTCAGGATTGCGCTTTGTCAGGATTTGACCTAGGTAAACTTAAGGCGTCGACATTGTCATCGTCAGAAAGATCCATTTCAGAGTAATTTACTTACTCTATCAGCAGTGTGTGTGCGTGCGTGTTTGGACCTCATTTTTAACAATGCTGCAGGGGGCCATTCCACCTTCTACCAGGGAATGGCCAACGAAGAGCCGGGTAGAAATGGTGTTGTAGACGTACCTGCTGCTGTAACATGCATGGATGACAATCCTCTTCAATCACAGCGGGCAGTTACAACCCCATATCATGCTTCGTGTTCGTCAACATTTCGCGTCGGCTCCAAGATTCGACGTTCCATGTTTTTCTCTAAACTCAAACGCCTCAAATCACCATCAGTGTGCGTGTGCTAGTGTGTGTGTGTGCGCGTTCATATTTTACATGCATATGTTACATGCACGCACCTTTGACCGCAATGACGGCATTAGGCCTCAACATTCACGGTTGCCACATACTGGACGGCACCAAGCTTTGTTGTCCTCACACAAGCTTTCGCCCACGGGTTTTGAGCAAATTTGGGGTTCCATTCGAGACGTTCAGCTCGGCTTTGGGCGGCACCAACGCTTTTGAACAACATGTATGTATATGCATATACATATACATATGTATATGTATGTGTAGATGTATATGTATATGATATATGATAAATGATATATGGTATGTGTATGTGTATGTATATGTATATGTGTATGTATATGCATATGTATATGCATATGTATATGTATATGCATATGTGTATGTATATGTGTATGTGTATGTATATGTATATGCATATGTATATATGATCCGCGCCGCCATTTGCACCACAAAATGATATACCTTGACTTTCCATAAGATGACCATTCTGTGGCAAATGAATTTGGAAATTTGGGTCAGAGCTACCATTCATGATCATTTATGGGTACCAAACCTAACCATTCTGTAAGAGACAAAAAATATTTTGCAGATGTTTTTCACGGTACGTTTTGTTTTTTTAAAGATATTGTGAATTGGCCCTTTGGTGAGCAAAAACCAGGTAGCCATTCTGTCGAGAACCAATCGTTCCAAGACATTTTCCATTTGTACATATAAGTATATATATATATATATATTTTTTTGTACTTTGTGATGTGTAAGACTATGGTTGCCATGGTTGGCTGAGAGAAACTTGACATTGTGCAATTTCCAGCCTTGTCCAAAAAGGACGATTGACAGGGTTTTGCCCTACAAAATGGCAGCGGGAAAAAGGCAATTTGAGCTGAAGTTCTGCAAAATGCCCCTGGGTTCTTCTATACAGTTTCTATAAGAGCATGAATGCACGTGTTAGATCATTTTTTTAGAGAACATCTCAAAATGGTTGCGGGTTCAAGAAGTCCAAGGCAGTTGACAGGCAATACCATTTTGTAGGCCACGAAGTGCCCAGGGCCTATGGCCCTACCAGTTTGTAAGCTGGAGAAACGGCACCAAAGCCATTTTGTAGACAAAAAGGCTGGGTCTCTACAAATGGACCACTGTGACCTCACCCAGGGAATGGCAAGGAGGAAAGTGCCAACCCATTTAATTATGAAAAACTATACTTCGATGAAATTGCCCGCAGATTTGAGGCGTTTTTTTTCTTCAGTTCAATCGCTAGTTGAGCCTTTCCAGAGAATTTTCGATGATTTTTATTGCTGTTATGTCTTTTTGCTGCTATGTTTTTTCCTCTGGTTCTTGTTGTCAATGGAAAAATTGATTTTTGTTCTGTTGCTGTCATTCTCGTTTCCTGTGAGATGAATGGGCAAAAAACTGATCTAGTAGAATAATATTATCGAAGGAAGTTTAGAAGTCAAACTTCCGACAGTATGGACAGATGAAAAGCAGAGATGGGAAGAGTCAGAGAAGAGAAGAAAAGAAGAAAACAGATCAAAAAAGAGAACGTCTCAGAAGAAAGAAGATCCAGGTGCGCGAAAAGTGGTAGGAAAGTCACGTGTGTTTTTCCAATGAAAAGACGCTTGCTAAAGTGGCGGGTGCGGAGCCAGCTGGCCAGATGAGAGATGAAAAATTGCACATCGTTGTGGCGCAAAGCAGATTTCGAAGTCAAAACGCACAAAGCACCACATGTTCGCGCCACTTTTGGACGTTGAAGCGTCGTTTTTGCGTGGCAGGCGCAAGGGATTGTGCACCTTGTCAAAAGTGAGCAAAACGTGAGGGCTTTGTAATGTTTTGTAGCATTTCCAAAAACGATGGCAGGCGTGGGACATTTGAAGAGGATCTGCAAAGATGCATTTTCCGTGGCAGGCGCAGTACAAGAGACATGTTCATCAGAGCTGCTAGGAGGTCCGGGCGCTGATTTCCTTAGAGGGGTTGCATTTTGGAGCATCAGATTCTTCAGTTTTTGGGAAGATGATTTTGCGTGACAGGCGCAGCACTTCGTATGATCTGGCATCACTTTTTCGTGGCAGGCGCAGTACTTCAGACAGGTGGACCGGAAAAATCGTAAAACGCATTGGTACGAGGCCGTCAGCTCTGGACTCAACTTTCCATTTTTGAAGGAAGTCTCGTAGAATTGCTTCGTTTTTGATGTTGTCAACTTCAAAAAATGAGGAAGTCTCGCAGAATTTGTTCGTTTTTGATGTTGCCAAGTTCAATAATTGAGGAAGTCTCGCAGACTTGTTTCCGCTTTGACGTTATCAAGTTCAAAAGTTGAGGAAGTCTCGCAGAATTGCTGCGTTTTCAAGCTTGCAGGTAGACAGACAGACAGGCAGACAAACAGATAGATAGATAGATAGATAGATTGATAGATAGGTAGATAGATAAACAGATAGCTACAACTACAACTACATGAACAGATAGTTACAACTACAACTACAACTGCACTAATTACACTACACTACTGCTACAGCTACAAATACAATTATACTACGCTACATCACGCCAAACTAATTACACTACACTAAACTAATTATATTGCAGCACACTACAACTACAAATACAACTACAGCTGCAACCACACTACATTACACAACACTACACTACACTGATTACATTGCATTACACTACAACTACAGTTGCAGTTGCAGCGGCAACTGCAACTACAACTACACCTACCACTACATTACATTACACTACACTACATCACACCTACTGCACGATGCGACACGACACGACACGACACTACATTACAGTATTTACATTGCACTACGCTACAACTACAACTACACTACTTTACACTAGACTACGCTACACTATACCACACTACACTACACCAATTACACCACACCACGACTACAACTGCAACTGCACTTGCCAGTAAATTAATTACACTACATTACAGCTACAGCTCCACTACACTACAACTACAGCTATAACTGCAACTACAACTGCACTACACCACACTACATCCAGCAGTTGCGGTAAGGTGACCACTGCAACCATTGCAACCAATCGAAAAAACACAACTCCAACCACCTGCCCGTCCATCAGTGGATTCGCTCTGCCACCCGTGATTCACAACAACCAACCTCTCCTATAGGTTTTCTATTTTTGAAACTTCCGCCGCCGCCTTGTGCGGTACTACTGGTATATCATTATCACAAGTATAATTTTGAACATATGGATCGTTGTTGGTGTTCTTTTTTGTTTATTTATTTATTTATTTATTTATTTTTATTTTATTTATTTTTATGTTTATTACATTGTATTACATGCATGATTGATCCCTACCCTCTGAAAAATGGAATTTGAGGGGGGGAAGTTGTACTGAAATTTCATTTTAAAATGCCATTTTTGCAATCATGTTTTCTCAATGACCAATATTCCTCGTCATTCCATGCCATTGGCAAGCAGATGAAGATTAAATACTTGCGTTTAGCTGCTGAGGAACTAAACTTAACACATGTCAGACTGAAGCAGCACATGTGTAGGGGGCACCCCTCCAAACATTGCGCTGCCATCATCATACTCGCGCTTAGCTCCCCCGGAGCTAATTGCAGCAAGTATTTTCTAATCAGTGCCCAAGGTTTGTTAAGAAATGTTACTTTACAATTCCATTTGAGGGGTTGGATTACTACCCCAGGGATTCCAAGCAAAAAAAGTAGAATTCGACAGGTTGGTTTTGCCCCCCCCGCCCTCCCCCTCTATGATCATGATTGTATAATATGTGCATGTGTGCGATATTTCGCCCAGTAAGGTTTTGCAATACCATTTTCCCAGTTTTCAATTCTGATTTCATGTCTGGTGTCTGATTTGTTTGATTTCCATTTATTGCATTTTTCGCTGCATCCAGGCTCCTCAGCTCCAGCGGGTGTTTGCATCTCACAACCATATCGTCACCCACGAGGCTTGACGGATTTGATCAAGCCATGGAACGGACTCAAAGGCGTGAATGTTGCAAAATCTTGCAAAATGATGCAAAACTGATGCACAATGCAACGTCCACTTCGATGTGAAAGCATCCAGGGACTTCGAGCGCTGGGCACAATACCAAACCTGCGGGAGCTGTCGCTGGATGGGAATCCTGTGGTTGAAGCAGCTGAACTACAGGCAGTCAGTGCACACTGTGACTGCAAGGGGTGACATCCCTCAATTGTGGGCTAGATAAACAGACATGGGACAACGTCACTCAACAGCAATTTTGGCTCCGTATATAAGGTCTCTGAGACTGAGACGGACGAGGGAATGACCGTAGACACCCTTGGAAAAAAGAATTCCCTTCGCCCTGCTGATGGAAGTTTCACAACTTAGACTTCGTAGAAATGATGCTGGAACCCCATGGATTTCCAGGGTGCTTGCTTGGAGTCATTCTTATTTTTACCTCAAAGAATTCACGGCATCATCCTTGCATCTCATCAATTCAAGAAGTGACAGAGACCTGAAATGCGAACTCATTTCGTTTCTTTCTTGCTGTCGCTTCATTTTTCAATCACTTTACTTTGAACTTTGGAGTCCAAAACCCTGACTGAGTCCCTGCCCGCAATATACGGTAATTATAATACTTATATATCACCGACATCACAAGATCATATGCAAAAGCTGTCATGCACGCAAGGTGTACCGCGCGCACATTCTATCATTGTGCCCTGCCTTGGAGATACTGGCGCCTCAGCATTGAAATCATGGAATGAATTCGATTAACGTTTTACCATGTTTCACCACGGTTTGTATCAAGTGGGTTCAGATAGTTTAGCTATGTTCAGCTCCAAGTTCTGGAGGGAGCATCTCCAGGCAACGTGTTGCACAATGTGTTGCACAACGTGTCGCACAACATGTTGCAATCTGAGGACAACGTTAAGGCTGAGGTTCAGCGAGGCTTGTCCCGTGCTGTGACAACCGTGAACTCAGCGCTCTGAACACATTATCAATACCAGGAAAAAATAGCCAACCGCAGCAGGAAGCACAAACCGTTTCAAACCGTCGCAACCCATCACAAAATTATATCTGACATGCGCATACATGTATACATACAGATACATAAACAGCAAGCTGGAAATGTCTGCCTTCAGGCCAGCTTTTTCTCACCTTATGATTCATTGTGCGACTATATTTGATGTTTCCTTGGTTTGGAGGTATTTTAAAGCGGCCTGAGGGAGAGCTCCAAATTGATTTTCAGAGCTGCTTGGATCAATCAGATCAACAATGGTCAATTTGTCGGGGTTGGCTGCTGCCTTCGCAAGAGGCATTGAGGACTCGTTGGAAGTCCCAGATTATCCTGCTGTTTCTCACTGTCAAGAAATGTAGCTTCATTGTGATTCATAGCTACTCACAGGATCTCACGGGTGATTCACATGCTTCCTCTCATCCAACAGAAATTTTGTTCAAACTTGCACAGGCAGTCAGAAGTGCACACCCCGGCACATCCATGCACACCAGTACCTGGTCTGATAGTGCTTGCCTTTCAGTCTTTCAGGCACGATGACGGCATCAAAGCCCGAAGCTTCAGATGCTAAAGATGCAAAGGAGTCCAAAGAGTCCAAAGAGCCTAAAGAGCCGAAAGCATCAATTGGCATCAGGAGCTTCTTGGATTTTCTTAGTCTTGGTCGTTGGTCTAGTTAGTCGCCCAATTTGCGGAGCCAGATGGCATTCTATGTTTGTAACTGTATCAAAGTGAACATGACTCTATCCGAATGCGACTTTTTCATTTGTCCAAGATTTGAGGCTTGCACTAATTACTGTTTCAGCCAAAAAGAGAGATGGAGAGATACCCACAAAAAAAACATGTTTGACTTGCACTCGTATCATGGAGATCGGCAAAGCATCCAAGTCAAGATGGCCCCGGGATATGGCCGCCTTCAAATCCTTCAAAACATATATTATCATATATTATTTAATTTAATCATATATATATGTGTGTGTATCATATTAAATCATCACATACAAATGATTAAAAGGATCGAGTCATGATTTGAAAGTATCAAACATAAGTGAACATGCATGAAAGTTGTCCAGCTTCGGCACTGTGCAGGCTTTGTGATCTCGCCGTCTCCCGGGCTTGCACAACCTGACACTCCTGTGGGGTCACCTTCACAGGACCTGCTCTTGTAATGTCTTGTAATGTCTTGTATGTCGGCATGATTCGTTGGATGGGCGCGAATCCTCGCAGTAGCCGGCTGTAGCCGGTGGCCAAACTCACTTCCATTACGACCATTCCTGCAGAAGCCCCTGGTCACAGCCGATGACTCACGATAACTCACGATGACTCCTGATGACTCCTGATGACTCCTGATGACTCGTGATGACTCCTGATGACTCCTGATGATTTCTGATGTCTCCTGATGACTCCTGATGTCTCGTGATGACTCCTGATGACTCCTGATGACTCGTGATGACTCGTGATGACTCGCGATGACTCCTGATGACTCCTGATGACTCGTGATGACTCGTGATGACTCGTGATGACTCCTGATGTATCCTGATGACTCCTGATGACTCCTGATGACTCCTGATGACTCCTGATGACTCCTGATGACTCCTGATGACTCGTGATGACTCGTGATGACTCGTGATGACTCGTGATGACTCGTGATGACTCGATGACTCCTGATGACTCCTGATGACTCCTTGACTCCTGATGACTCCTGATGACTCCTGACTTGACTGATGACTCCTGATGACTCCTGATGACTCCTGATGACTCCTGATGACTCGTGATGACTCCTGATGACTCCTGATGACTCGTGATGACTCGTGATGACTCCTGATGACTCGTGATCTGATGACTCCTGATGACTCGTGACTCCTGATGACTCCTGATGATTCCTGATACTCGTGATGACTCGTGATGACTCCTGATGACTCCTGATGACTCGTGATGACTCGTGATGACTCGTGATGACTCGTGATGACTCCGATGACTGGACTCCTGATGACTCGTGATGACTCCTGATGACTCCTGATGACTCCTGATGACTCCTGATGATGACTCCTGATGACTCCTGATGACTCTTGATGACTCGATGACTCCTGATGACTCGTGATGACTCGTGATGACTCCTGATGACTCCTGATGACTCCTGATGACTCCTGATGACTCCTGATGACTCGTGATGACTCCTGATGACTCCTGATGACTCGTGATGACTCGTGATGACTCCTGATGACTCGTGATGATTTCTGATGACTCCTGATGACTCGTGACGACTCCTGATGACTCCTGATGATTCCTGATGACTCGTGATGACTCGTGATGACTCCTGATGACTCCTGATGACTCGTGATGACTCGTGATGACTCGTGATGACTCGTGATGACTCGCGATGACTCCTGATGACTCCTGATGATTTCTGATGTCTCCTGATGACTCCTGATGTCTCGTGATGACTCCTGATGACTCCTGATGACTCGTGATGACTCGTGATGACTCGCGATGACTCCTGATGACTCCTGATGACTCGTGATGACTCGTGATGACTCGTGATGACTCCTGATGTATCCTGATGACTCCTGATGACTCCTGATGACGCGTGATGACTCCTGATGACTCCTGATGACTCCTGATGACTCCTGATGACTCGTGATGACTCGTGATGACTCGTGATGACTCGTGATGACTCGTGATGACTCTTGATGACTCCTGATGACTCCTGATGACTCGTGATGACTCGCGATGACTCCTGATGACTCCTGATGACTCCTGATGACTCGTGATGACTCGTGATGACTCCCGATGACTCCTGATGACTCGTGATGACTCGTGATGACTCGTGATGTCTCCTGATGACTCCTGATGACTCGTGATGACTCCTGATGACTCGTGATGACTCCTGATGACTCGCGATGACTCCTGATGACTCCTGATGACTCCTGATGACTCGTGACGACTCCTGATGATTCCTGATGATTCCTGATGACTCGTGATGACTCGCGATGGCTCGTGATGACTCCTGATGACTCCTGATGACTCGCGATGACTCCTGATGGCTCCTGATGACTCGTCATGACTCCTGATGACTCCTGATGACTCCTGATTACTCCTGATGACTCCTGATGACTCCTGATGATTCGTGATGACTCCATGAGATGACTCCTGATGACTCCTGATGACTCCTGATGACTCCTGATGACTCCTGATGACTCCTGATGACTCCTGATGACTCCCGATGACTCCTGATGACTCCTGATGACTCCTGATGATTTCTGATGACTCCTGATGACTCGTGATGACTCCTGATGACTCGTGATGACTCGCGATGACTCCTGATGACTCCTGATGACTGATGACTCCTGATGACTCGTGACGACTCCTGATGATTCCTGATGATTCCTGATGACTCGTGATGACTCTTGATGACTCCTGATGACTCCTGATGACTCGTGATGACTCCTGATGACTCCTGATGACTCCTGACGACTCGTGATGACTCCTGATGACTCCTGATGACTCTTGATGACTCGTGATGACTCTGGTGACTCCTGATGACTCCTGATGACTCGTGATGTCCCCTGATGACTCCTGATGATTCTGATGACTCCTGATGACTCGTGATGACTCCTGATGACTCCTCCTATGACCCTGATGACTCCTGATGACTCCTGACTGACTCTCCTGATGATGACTCCCGATGACTCCTGATGACTCCTGATGACTCGTGACTGTCGATGATGATGACTCGATGATGACTCCTGATGACTCGTGATGACTCTCCTGATGACTGATGACTCCTCGTGATGACTCGTGGTGACTCCTGATGACTCCTGATGACTCGTGATGTCCCCTGATGACTCGATGACTCCTGATGACTTCTGATGACTCGTGATGACTCCTGATGACTCCTGATGACTCCTGATGACTCGTGATGACTCGTGATGACTCCTGATGACTCGTGATGACTCGTGATGATTCGTGATGACTCGCGATGACTCCTGATGACTCCTGATGTCTCCTGATGACTCCTGATAACTCGTGACGGCTCCTGACGACTCCTGATGACTCGTGATGACTCGTGATGACTCCTGATGACTCGTGATGACTCCTGATGACTCCTGATGACTCCTGATGACTCGTGATGACTCCTGACGACTCCTGATGACTCCTGATGACTCCTGATGACTCGTGATGACTCCTGATGACTCCTGATGACTCCTGATGACTCCTGATGACTCGTGATGACTCCTGATGACTCGTGATGACTCCTGATGACTCCTGATGACTCGTGATGACTCCTGATGACTCGTGATGACTCCTGATGACTCCTGATGATTCCTGATGACTCGTGATGGCTCGTGATGACTCCTGATGACTCGTGATGACTTCTGATGAGTCCTGCCATGTCCTGACCTGTCCCCCAAGTGATATGATGCATGGTTGCTCTTAGAGTCTGAGGAGGTGGAGACTGACAAAACGAATGGCAGAGGTTGTGCTGGCTCTCCTTGCTTTCAGAGGCGCACGCGCAAACCAACCCGACCCTGTATGCACAGCATTTTATATCCATTTAGAGCCATCCACAGCACCAAAGCACGCAAAATTGCACAACTGTGATACAGATGACTCAGTGACAAAACACTTTGCATGTCAATTGCTGCGCTGCTGAGCGTTGCGTCGATTTTGAACCGCAGTTTTGGGGAGCACTGGGCCCATATGCAAGTCAATTTGGCAATTTACTCCGTACATTTATATACATTTATAGTTTTTAGATGTTTTAGTGTTATATATATATGTATATCATTCTGTTGCATGGACAACGTAATAGATAGAACAATATAGAACATCATAGAAAAATAATGAAGAAGACATGAAACCGGGGCCCGCAACTCTAAATTAGATGTTTACGATATTACATCGAAGAGTGCCAATCGCATTGTAGAATGCAATGCCATTTTGACATGACTCAACGCAGTACATGATTTGTATATAAATAGTACAACATACAACTGGATATGATGCAAAGCAACCAAATAGATGACAAAGTTTCTGCAATTACCGTGCCATCGCATATCTAATATGTAAAGGGATCCTCGTGGCAAGCACTTCGTAGACATGAGGCCGGAGCTTCCTTCGTTCACTCGCACTGTGGGCCTTCCGTACCAAACACCACCAGCCACTTTTCTTTAGACAACCAGCCAGCTGTTTATACGTTTTTGCGCTGGATACATGGCGTGCTGCCCGGTTCGTCTACTGGTACGAAGACTGTACGCTTAAAGTTATGTGGGTTTACAAATTTATTTGAATTATAACGTGCTTCTAAACCCTCTATAACGTCTTTATAACCTGCTTGCAAGCATGTAAAGTTTCATAACTTTTTACAAGTAAGTTATAACTTCAGGTAGCCGGCTAGGTGAAGTTGTAAATGTTTAGGTAGGATATAAGTTCTTAACGAACTTATCGGAAGTATCTTATCTAAAGATAACTTTTCATAACTATGTTAAGAGACTTAACATAAGTTCTTAGCAAAAGTTATCATGAGTTACAGAAAGTTATAAAAAGTTAGAAAAAGTTACAAAATGGAATTTGTGCAGTATGTTTAGATACCTTGAGGAATGTTTTCCGGAAAAAGATAGTTGCAAAGATGCTTTCCCGGAAAGGTTATGGTTCCCAAGAATAAGTTTTTTAAACGACTGAAGTGTGAAAAGAAAGTTCTTGTGTGTGAAGAATTTGATCTGTAAAGGTAGTTCCTGTAAAGGATACGGTCTGCAAAGACAGTTCCTGTAAAGGATAAGGTTTGCAAAGACAGTTTCTGCAAAGGATATGGTTTCTAAGGACAGTTCCTGCAAAGGATATGTTCTGCAAAGATACTTCCTGAAAAGGATATGTCTCTGAAGACAGTTCTTGCAAGGGATCTTGCGCTCTGTGTTTTGATATGGACACATCGTGGCATGTGATATAGCTGATTTGCTCAAAACAGTTCCTGAAGGATCCAGTCTGAAAAGACAGTTCCTGAAAAGGATCCATTCTGAAAAGACAGTTCCTGAAAAGGATCCAGTCTGAAAAGACAGTTCCTGAAAAGGATCCATTCTGACAAGACAGTTCCTGAAAAGGATGAAGCCTGAAAAGACAGTTCCTGAAAAGGATCAAGCATGAAAAGACACGACTTGTTTTTTTTCTTAGAACAAAACATGAATATATACCACAATGGAGGAGCATTTTCTTTCTGGGATCTACTTATACGAGCTTTTAAACCATTACATTATAAACCACAAGACCATTATTGCTTCAAATTGTTTTTAGTATATTTTGCGTGTTGTGAGTTCCAAGTCCTTAGATTAAAAAAAGTCAAAAAACGAGCTACGAGTGCCCCAAACTTTTTTTTGTAAATTTGAAATTCCATTGCTTGAGGCACTCCTTTATGGAACCCCTATTTTGCGTCATTTGCATTGCAGTTATCTTGCAAATTTATGGTTCATAACGCAAGTTTAAATTTGCAATGGTTCAGCCATAGTCCGGGTCAAGATATATATAGAGTTTTATTGAAATAATATCAGGTCGAAATTTGGATGGAGAGATTCCCTCCTCTTGATGTAGCTACCTTCTGGCTAGGTACAGCCCCCCAGCAGTACAGAAACTATTATCAAAATATTTATTTCCTTACAAAAACCAAATTTTATAAGATACAAAAAACTTATCCACATTAAAAATTGCACACATAGAGCTCAAAACCCCAGAAGCACAACTTCAAAATCTAGGCAGGAACTATGCAGGAACTATGCAGGAACTATGCAGGAACTATACAGGAACTATGCAGGAACTATACAGGAACTATACAGGAACTATGCAGGACTATGCAGGAACTATGCAGGAACTATGCAGGAACTATGCAGGAACTATGCAGGAACTATGCAGGAACTATGCAGGAACTATGCAGGAACTAGGAACTGCAGGAACTATGCAGGAACTATGCAGGAACTATGCAGGAACTATACAGGAACTATGGCCAAAGTAAAAAAAATATTTCCTTAAAATGATGAAACTATAGCTAAGCTAGATTGAACTACAGCTGGTTCTGCTTGAAGGTTTTCAAATTCGATATGAATTATAGCTACGTTGAACTATAGGTCGTTCAATCTTCACTTTAGCTCTTTCAATCTTTACCAGAGATATTACAAACATAACCATGCCAGAAATTGCAGTTTTCATATTAATTACTTCTTTAAAGTGGGTTTCTTTAAAAAAAATGTAGACACACAAAACCCACAAATTCAGCAAGAAAAAATAATAACTATTTAAAGTTAGACAATATAAAGCTATTGTAACTACAATATGTTAGAGTTAATAGTGTTTATATATAAGTATCAACAAGAAAAAGATGCACAAACGCGATCCCAACTATATATACTGTAGTCCGTGTTTGAATTTGATATGGTTCATCTTGTGGCAAACTCAAGTCATCATAAAGAAAGCAAACCAAAGAAAAGAAAACAATCTGCAGCACCTTTCGCACAGCTCAGAGGAAAAAAATGCCGCCCAAATCAGCCAATTATTACGTTATTATTAAGCATGGTCCGAAACAACTTTGAAACCAACACTGCGAAGCCTTTAAAAGTTATCAAAAGTTATAAAAAGTTATCGAAACTTACCAAAAACTTACAAATAAGTTATCCAAGTTAACATAACTTATTTTCATAGTTTTGATAAGTCATGTTAACTTCCAACATAAATTATGTAACTTCTTTATATCTAGGCTAAGTCTGTAAAGTCTTCTATCTTAAAGCGTACAGTCTTCGTAGAACTTCAGTCTTGGGATTGCAGATGGGCATGGATATTCAATGAAGAGGTTTGCATTTGGACAAAACGTCAAACACCAGCCTCCTAAAGTTCAGTTGCTTCGCCATTTGTCAGCCTAGTTCCAGTTAACAGAATATTAAGTTTTGTGTGATTGTAATCCTGTATGAATTAT